ATCCACCCTTTTGGTGGCCAGGACAGTGCATCACGGCAACAGCTGATGGTAAAGCTACTGCCTTTAACAAGGCCAGGATTTCCAATGGGTGTTTGACATCCTTGTTACTAGCGATAAGAAGTCCCCGCTCCTTCCAAATGGCCCCATGCATGTGGAGAATCATAAAAGAATACTTGGAGTCAGTAAATATATTGACTCTTTTACCTTTTGAGAGTTCCAAGGCACGGGTCAGGGCTCTTAATTCGGCTTTCTGCGCTGATGTACCTGCCGGAAGAGCCTTGGCTTCCACGGTGTTCTGGAGCGTCACCACTGCATATCTGGCACATCGACAGCCTTGATCCATGAAGCTGCTGCCATCTGTAAATAGCTCCCACTCTGGATCCAGCAGAGGCTGGTCAGTTAGATCTGGTCAACTGGCATACACTGTGTCTATGGTTTCTAAACAGTTATGATTAAAGTGTCATCCTCAGATCCGTCTGCATTGCTTGGAAGCAGTGTGGCAGGATTCAGGGAATTAGAAACCTGCAGTTTCACATTAGGATTGTCCAACAGAGCTGCTTGATATTTTTCCATTCGCCCAGCGGTTAACCAAAGTCCACCCTTCTGCTCCAGCAATGTCAAGACCTGATGTGGCACACACACAGTGATGGGCTGACCCAATGTAAACTTCTCTGCCTCATGTAGGAGGTCACAAGTGGCAGCCACAGCACGCAAACATGGAGGCCATCCCTTAGTGGTGTGGTCCAGTTGTTTTGACAGATATGCAACAGGCTGCATTTCTGGCCCCAACACTTGGATCAGCACTCCTAGGCCAACCCCCTGTCTCTCATGTACATAAAGTCTGAATGGCTTCCTAAGATCCGGAAGCCCTAATGCTGGTGCTGAGATCAACTTTGCTTTTATTTCATCAAAAGCCTTTTGACATCCTGGAGTCCAAGACAAAGGTTCAGAGTCCAGGCCTTTGAGAGCATCATATAAAGGTTTTGCTATTAATCTAAAATTAGGAATCCAAATCCTACAAAACCCAGCCATACCCAAAAATCTGCACAACTGTCGCCGGTTAAGGGGACTCTAAGGGCTGAAATTACCTGTTTTCTTTCCATCATCAGGCTCCATCTGCCTTTCTTAATTTCAAACCCCAAATATGTCTCAGTTTGTTTGCATATCTGTGCCTTGTTAGGTGACACCTTGTAGCCACATTCTGCCAGGTGGTTCAGTACCACTATGGTATTTTCCAGACAAGATTCGTAGTCTGGACTTGCAATCAATAAATCATCTACATATTGCAATAAGACACCCTGGTTTAGTTGAACCTTCCTGAGATCCCTGGCCAGTATTTCCCCAAAAATAGTTGGGGAGTTCTTAAATCCCTGTGGAAGCACAGTCCAGCAATACTGGAGAGTGCTCTTGGACTTAGGGTCCTGCCACTCAAAGGCAAAAAGCAGTTGATCCTGGACATCAATTGGGATACAAAAAAAGGCATCCTTCAGGTCTAATACCGAAAACCACCCAAAGTCACCAGGTATGGCAGTTAATAGGGTGTACGGATTAGGCACAGTGGGATGTAAATCCTGAAAAATATCATTAATAGCCCTTAAATCTTGGACAAAACGGTACTCGCCTGTATGGGGTTTCTTCACTGGCAGAATCGGAGTGTTGTATGGTGAGCGGCAGGGCCGAATGAGTCCAGATTGAAGGAACCTTTTCAATACTGGCTCAATTCCCCTCAAGGCCTCCTCCTTTAAGGGGTATTGTTTCCTTCTCGGGGTTTTGCTCCCCTCTATCCCTTCTATCTTTACAGGCTCTGCATTTTTCGCACGTCCTGGGGTTCCATCAGCCCATACCCATTTACTTACTCTTTCAACAATTTCTGGAGGTAAAATTTCACCTTTTGGTGGAGCATCTTGAGTAAGCAACATCTGGAACCGCAGAGCATGCTCTGGAGGAACCTGTAGGTGAAGCCTCTGATTTTTGGGTGAGAATATAATTCATGCATTGAGCTTACTTAAAAGGTCACGACCAAGGAGAGGGATTGGACACTCTTCCATGTATAGGAAGCTGTGCTGGAGCTGTGTGGTGCCTAGCCGGCACTCCAAAGGTTGCAGGAAGGGTGTCTGTTGTGACTTCCCTGTAATCCCAATGACTGCTGCAGTCTTTTTGCTCATTTTAGTTAATTTCGAATTTAAAACTAAGTATGTTGCTCCAGTGTCCACCAAGAAAGAAATCAATCAGACGATCCCCTACAGCGAGTGTTATCCGGCGCTCCGAGGGGGTTATTTTGATGGGCTTAAGATCTAGTGGAGCCCCTGGACACCCCTATTCCTCATCTGAACCTTCTCCATGAACTATCATTTGTCTCCTTTCCTCCACACTTGGCTCCAGATTCCTTCTACTCTGTCTATATTCCCTCCTATCTTCACCTGAGACCCTACTCTGTGCTCTCACTGGTCCCCTGTCCTCTGTGCTGGGCTCTCGATTCCTTCTCTGTCCGTATTCCCTATCATCATCTGAGCCTCTACTCTGTGCTAACATCTGTCTTCTTTCCTCTCTCCTTGGTTCCTGGTTCTGTGTACTCCTCCTATATTCCTTCCTGTAACCCCTACATGAATCATCCTGTCGTGGTGTCCTCAGTCTTCTAGCCTGCCTTCTGTAATTACTGCGTCTGCCGCTTCCCTGTAACCTGGGACAACTGTACTTCCAATGTCCCTCTTCCCTACAGAAAGCACACTGATTTCTTCCTAGGGGTTCATGTCTCTGGCCATTACTGTTTTCCCGAAACCCTGGCCTGTGCTCTCTTTGTACGAAAACGGTCGCAGGTTTTGGTCTCCTGTCCTCTCTATTATTATAAACCTTAAATGCTAAGTCCACTACCTGGGACGGACTCATCTCTGTGACGCCGTCTACCTTTGCTAACTTTCTCCTTATGTCTGGAGCACTATTTGTGATAAACACCATAGTGATCAAACGAGCATTTTATGGGGCATCTGGATTTATATCCGTGTGGTTTGTATACATCTGAATAATCCTTTCAAGGAACTCTGATGGATCATCATTAGCCCCTTGTGTAAGTTCTAATATTTTGTTAAAATTTTTTTGTTTGGGGATTCCCTGCTGCAGTCCTACCAATAAACATTTTTTATACAGATCCAACTTCGCCATTCCTCCATCGTTGGTGTCCCATCCAGGATCTTCCTCTGGGACAGCAATCTCTGGTTCTGGGGATTGGCTATCCTGTTGGCGGAGACGGTCAGCCTCCTCCCTGGCTTTCCTCACTACCATCCTCCGCTCATCTAGACCTAGCAAAGTTTGTAACATTGTCTGTATATCTGCCCAGTTAGGGCGGTGGGTGCCGGTACGGGGGAACAGAGCTCCTCCAATTTAGGAGGTCCCCAGTGCTAAAAGGACGGTGAGACCAAAAGTACCCAGCAGGTCGCCCCTGTTCATTGAAGCCACCCATCGGCAACTGGCAAAGAGGAAACTGTCCTGCCACAGGGCTATCGTTCCTGCCAAAATGGGTGCAGCTCCTAGTGTGGGCAGGAGACGCCATTGTAATTACCTCCCCGGAGGGCAATGGAGGCTGTGAAGCCTCAGGATTTTGCACGGGAGGGGCCTGGTCACGTGGTGAAGGCCTTTGTCCTGAAGCCTCAGGAGTCTGAGCGGGAGGGGCCTCTTCACATGGAGAAGGACTTTGTCCCAATGTGGTTAAGGTATTTAGCAAATGATACTCCTCCTCCTCCTCCTCTGACTCCGCTCTTCTGCAGTCCTCATGGGAAGGAGAAGGTTTATCTCTTCTCTGCACCATTAGCCTAGCCTTTACCTCCGCCATATCCAATTTATGGAGGGCGACCTGTATCTGGTCCTGCATACTTTTAAAAGCTGACTCAAAAACGTTACGATTTTCATACCTCACACTGTCAATAGTTAAATCAAAAGACTGATTTTGTCGTTGCACTTGATCGCGCATGCTTTTAAAAGCTGACTCAAAAGCCTGATTTTGTTGTTTCATAGCTAAGTTAAGAGCTTGAAATTGTTGCAGTACATTCTCAGTATGTGAAGTATAACCACTACTTCTCATAGAAACAAGAATGTAGCACATGGCGCCTATGCACATTACCGAAAAAACACCCAGAAGCACAGACTGCAAAGGGATGGCTTGGAAACCACCCACATATGTATACAGAAGTAAAATCATGTGCCATACACTAGATTTAATCCAATTATTTACACTTATCAAACTGGTGGTAATATTTAATGGAAAAAGGCTACTTAAATTCAAGGCTGGAAAAAAACTGAAAGAACTCAAGTCAGGGATAAAACCGCTGAAGTTCATGGTTGAGGCCACGTTTGGGTCAAAACCACACCCACAAGAGCCGTATGCGCGGAAAAAAAACAGACTTTTCAGGCCGTGAAACAAAGATTTTCACTGCGAGTCCTGCAGACCTAGTGCGCTTTATGGTGACCAACACAAGAAAAATTACTTTGGGCTGGTCAACCACGGGTGAAGCTTGGAAACCGCGTTGGGCGCCAGCTGTTGTAGAGCAACCCCGATATTTAGTGGGTTGCCTGGCTGTGGGTCCTCACCCGCGCGCTTAAAAGAGACTTATTAATACTCCACTACAGACATACACAAAAGGTTAATAAAAGGTTTATTTACAAGGGAAAAGGAAATAAGGAAAATGTACAACTCAGGGAGAAAATAGGGAAATAAAGTCTTTAATGCGTCCTACCCAATCCGCCGACCTGGAAACCCAAAGGCACTCTCAGAGCTGGGTGGACGCTGCGAGCTGGTGGAGAGGCAAAGTGGGGAGAGCCAAAAGCCTACGTGTCTGCCTTTATACCAACTTGGCTGCTTAACCCCACCCTCAGGTCCCAGCCACCTTCCCTTTGGTGGTGATGGGATTTGGAGTTCCCAGTGTCTTTGGCTTTGGCCTGGGGTGGGGGTGGAGTCCACAAAGCCTGTATGGAATTAGCTTTAGGACATCCTTTTCCCGCTAACACAGGGAAGACAATCTGCATCATCCTGCTCCAGTTATAAAGTCTCCAAGGACGCTCCTGGACTCCTTCTCCCCAGGCCCCTGGATGGGAGTGTGATGCCCCTCACCCTCCTGCTGCTGCTCTTGGGGCCCCTGGCCCTGATGGAGACCCGGGCGGGTGAGTGCGTGTCCAGCTGGACACTGTTGCTCCTGGAGGGAGGAGCAAGGAGCCCCATGCGGGTGCAGGACCCCAGGAAAGGCTCATCTCCTCCCCAGCCTCTTGTACCCCTTCAGGCCCGTTGTGCTCTGGCCCCTTCCGTCCCTCCCGCCTCCCCTGAGTGCTCTGGTCCCCTGAGTCTGGGCCCTTCTTGGCCCACCCCCCTTTTCACTCATGGCCCCGCCCCTTTCTCCCCTCCAGGCCCACCTCCTTGGGCCCTGGGCCCCGCACTGAGAGGTGGGTCAGCACGGGTCTCCCCTCCCGCCCCCAGGCTCCCACTCCCTGAGCTATTTCTCCACCTCAATGTCCCGGCCTGGCCTTGGGGAGCCCCACTACATCGCCGTGGGCTACGTGGACCATACGCAGTTCATGCGGTTCGACAGTGACTCTCTGGGCCAGAGTGTGGAGCCACAGGCGCTCTGGGCGGAGCAATTGGGGCAGAAGGATCTGGACGAGGAGACTCAGAGCCAAATGAACAACGCAAAGCGGTTCAAAGTGCTCCTGAGGGACCTGCGCGGCCACTACAACCAGAGCGAGGACGGTGAGCTTCGGGGGGCGGTCCCAGGATCAGGTCCCACCATAAGGCCAAGATGTCCCGAGTCTCAGGGTTGACAGACCCTCGAGGCTGGTGGGTCTGCCAGTCCCCTCCGCTGGGAAGAGCCGGCAGGACATTCCTACCTGCCCATTCGTTTTCAGTTTAGGTTTATTCAGGGTGGGAGGGCGGGGTGACCGTGGGTGACCTCGGGGCTGACCACAAGGGTGGGTTTCAGGGTCTCACACCCTCCAGAGCATGTTTGGCTGTGAAGCGGGGCCAGACCTGAATCTCCTCGGCGGGTATGAAAAGTTTGCCTACGACGGCGCAGATTTCATCTCCCTGAGCGAGGACCTGCGCTCCTGGACCCCCGCGGACTCGGTGGCTCAGATCACCCAGCGCGAGTGGGAGGCGCAGGGGAGGGCCGAGCGCGTCAGGAACAGTGTGAGAATCAAGTGCTTGATATGGCTCCGCAGACTCCTGGTTTTGGGGAAGGAGGTGCTGCAGCGCACAGGTAAGAGGGGCCTCAAGGCCTCAGACCGCCCCTCTCCTGGCGCCCCGCAGGGAAAATGGAATAATGCGCAGAACAGCACCTCCTTTCTGGGCAGAGGGAGGAGCCCTTGGGTTTCATGTTCTGTGCTAGAGACTCGCCCAGAAGACACCACTTTTCTGGACAGTTAAGGAGTCCACTCTCTCCTGAGGGAGGGAGGCCATCCTGAAATAACTCTTCCCTGGATCCTTGTGACCCAGCAGCTATCCTAGGAACCCTGAGTTTCTCTTTCAAGGTCTTGTTTTTGGTCTGAGAACATTTTTGGATCTGACTCCTGCCTTTCTGTGTCATTCACCCTCCACCCAGGTCAGGAGCAAAAGTCTGTGTTCTTCTTAGAGACTTGTATCCTTATACCATGGGCTCTCACCCGATTATCCCAGGATTCTCCAGACTAGGCTGGATTCTTGGTTTTGTGCTTCCTCCCTCCAAACCTAATGTTATGTTCATTCTGAGGATGGTCAGTGAGGATGGTCAGTCCAGGATGGAAAAATCCAAAGAGTAAATGTTCTTACCCTTCTCTTCAGAATCCCCAAAGACACACGTGACTCATCACCCCACCTCAGACCATGGGGTCACCATGAGGTGCTGGGCCCTGGGCTTCTACCCTGCGGACATCACCCTGACCTGGCAGCAAGATGGGGAGGACCTGACCCAGGGCATGGAGCTGGTGGACACCAGGCCTGGGGGTGATGGAACCTTCCAGAAGTGGGCATCTGTGGAGGTGCTTTCTGGAGAGGAGCAGAGATACACGTGCCGTGTGCAGCATGAGGGACTGAAGGAGCCCCGAGTCCTGAGATGGGGTGAGAAGGGGTACGTGGGCATTGAGCTTCTGCTCACAGGAATCAGGCGCCCATCTGGAGATCTTCAGAGGGTCAAGATGGAGGCCTGGGGCTCAGGGTCTAACCTTCCCTTCCCTTCTAGTGGCCCCTCCTCAGTCCTCTGTCCCCACCGGGGGCCTCATTGCTGGCCTGGTTCTCCTTGGAGCTGTGCTCACTGGAGCTGTGGTGGCTGCAGCTGTGATGTGGAGGAAGAAGCGCTCAGGTAGGGAAGGGAGTGGGGCATCTTGTCTACTGCAGGCTTTCATGTCCCAGGCAGAACTTGCCCTACCTGGTTAATGGGAAGTACCATCCACACATGTGTGTTGACCAGAGGGTATTTGGTCCAGTCCCCCCTCACCTCCTTTATTTTTTCCCAGTTCTGACCTGGGTCTTTAGTCACAGTTCTGGAAACTTCCGTGTTCTGCAGGATTAGAAGATTCCTTTAGGAGTTCTGACCTGACTCCTCTGTGGTCTCACATGATTTTTCTTCCCACAGGTGAACAAGGAAGAAGCTATACTAGCTATACTCAGGCTTCAGGTAAGTGTGGGTCAAGAATTTGATCCCTGAGTCTCTGGAGACAGTGTAGATGGAGCCCATGGGGGCGTCATCCTAATCATTTCCTCCTGTGGTCTCATCTCTGACCACGTTTAGTTGTGTTCCCCCCTGGGCAGCAGTAGTGCCCCGGGCTCTGAAGTGTATCTCAGCCCCTAAAGGTGAGACCCTTGAGGACTGCAGCGGGGGCTGAAGGGTTCAGGCAGAGAGGCTTCGACTAGATTATGGGGACGCTTTCAGAAGGGCATCTTGAGAGTGCAGTGGACCATTGATATTGTTAACACTCAGGTAATTCACCTGAATTTCTTCATGATTATTTTCTTTCATGGTGAGAAACAGCGTTGTTGGCCTGGGTGTTACAGTATGTATTTTTGCCCACATTTTGTGGCTTTATGATCCCCTGGTTTAAACTACTCCAGACCTGCGAGAATGACCCATATCCAAAAGACCAGAAACAAGTGCTGGCAAGGATGTGGAAAAAAGGGGACAGTTCTACGTTGTTTTTGGATATAGACTGAGCCAGCCCTATGGAAACAGTATTGAGATTTCTTAAAAGAGTAAATGTGGTTCTGCCATTGGACCCAGCAATTCCGCACTGAGGATCTACTCACAGAGGATAAATACTCTCCTGTTAAGGGACCTGCACTCCCGTCACCACTCAGCACTATTTACAGTAGCCAAGCTATGGGAACCACCTAAATGCCCCAAGCAGGTGACAAATCAAGTAGAAGCTGGGATTACATGTATACATTTATGTACATGTACAGGAGATGTATGTCCCTGTATAATGAAACAGCATCCACGGTCAGAAAACATAACTCATGCCACTGCGGCAACATGGATGGAAGAGGGAAAAGTGAAAAGGAAAAAGAGAAATACTTATATATGGATGTAGAGAAAGCAAACGAAGGGCCAGATTAAGCCAAAGTTCAAAACTAACCCTTGAGCCCCGCCAGGCCACACCTATTGCTGACCAGGGCTGCAGACCAGCCCAGGCTTCCTGGCCCGCAGCGCTGGATGGTGGACTGACCCTCTCTAGTTTGGCATCAGGCTCATTTGTCGACAAAGCCTGACTCCTGCTGCCTGAGTCCCCCCATTGTGTCTTGTTGCACCTGCACCACCACTGGGTCCCCAGCCTCTGCTGTTTGCTGGGTCTGAGATGGATCTTGTACTTGATGCTGCAGATTATGACTTTTTTACACCACTTACATATCCACCACATGGCCAGAATGTGACATCTTCCAACAGACTGTTTATTCTCCTGATAGTAACAAATCTTGGAGCTTTTATCCTTTATTTCCTCATTGCAACACTGAGTTATTATTTGTCTATAGTTCCCTAATGAAACATCTACAGTTTTTTTTAGAGATTTTTAAAAAAAATTATGTGTAGTAGAACTGGGGTGAAGGCCAGAGGTGTCAAGGAGTGGGGGTGAGAGGATTCACTGGAAACAGAGTGGGGAGCAGAACAGGTGGATATACTGAAATACACTGCTAAGGGGAGTAGTAGGTAAGACAGGAGAGGTCTGCTGCGCCATGTGGATCCAACTCAGGCTCTTGCTGGCCGGGGATCCAACTCAGGCTGTTGCAGTGGGCCTTCTCAGTGGTAGTGCTGAGACTTAACCCCTAGGCCACCAGAGAGGCCCAAAACCCACAATTTTTAAAGAATCAAGTCTTGCAAGAAATTGTTTAATGTTATGTCATTACCATGGATTAAGTATTCCCACCATTTCACTGTTCCTGCTGGAGCTGAGAGGATACAGCAAATTATATGTCAATGTACGAGAGTTTCCAAATGGCTGGATTAACTCATTATGTCTATGGTCCACAGGCTGGCTTGTTTAGGTTGTACATCTTTGTCAATATCTGGACGATTTCCATTGATGATGGTGATTTTCGTATCTTCAAATCTTAAGGCCATTTATTAAGGGCTCAGCTCACCATACACACCTTTCCCTCTTCTTTGACTACAACTGTGGACAATATTTTACATTGTGGCATAGAATTGGAGGCTCATTCAAATATTCTTCCTCCTTGGAAGGGAAAGGACCACAGTTATGTGAAGAAGGTGATAGAAGACAAGCATAGCAGCCAGCAGGAAATGGTAAAAATGAAAAGTTACTTGATGGATGGCCTCCCCCATGGCGCAGTGGTTGAGCGCTGGGTTGCGAAGCTGCCCACAGCCTCTGCAGCGCCGATTCGATCCCCGGCTGCTCCCCGGCCACCAGAGGAGGGTCCCACATGGCGCGCAAACCTCTCCTGCCGCCTGCTGCTCCCCTCAGCAGTGTACTTCGGTCCTTCTGGGTGCTCTGCTCCCCGCTCTGGCTCTGGTGGATTCTCTCACCCTCCCGTGCTTCTGACTGTACCCAGTGCTTGTATAAATAAATAAAAATAAATCTTTAAAAAAAAAGAAATGAAAAGTTACTTGATGGAGAAGTTACAAAGGCTGAGCAAATTATTGCCCAATTATTAAGTATTTTTAATGAGGGAAAATAATCTACATCCATCCAGGAGACATAGCAATGGTAGTGTTTGAAACTCCGCATTGAGGGCCCTGCTGAGGGATTGTCATGTCGAGAGACCAAGAGAAACCAACCTTCTGTGTAAACACCAGGGGTGACCTAAGAGGTGACTGTGTCTTTCCAGCCAGTGAACCTGTAACTTATATTGTCTCAACAATAATCTTTAAAAAGGTGGAGAGAAAGTAAATTATGGAGAAGACCAGGTTATATCCTTTTGCTTTAACCCACCACATTCATTAAGAAAAACTCATTGTGTTTATTAACACCAAGGCTCAGCGCCATAACAAGGAAACACAAATACAGGATTCAGGTGGAGCCTGGTGTCAGAAGTGAGCTCCATCTTCCGTGCGGGTCCGGCAATGACCACTTGTCATAATTTGTTCACGGGGAAGCCTCAGCATGGCAGCAGGTCTGATAGAATCTACTAGTGACTGTGCAGTTTTTATTTAAAACCATTATGTAATAAGCATAAAATTATGTGAATCTAAATGTATTTAGAAAGGGAAACTTGATGTCCAAGTAGTATATTTGGCTGCTGGATTTTTTTTTTAGATTATGTATACAATAACTGGGGAACAGGTCAGAGGTGTGGGGGGTGAGATGATTGACTAGAGACAGAATGGGGAACTGAACAACCAAACTGACTGAAATACACCGCTCAGGGGAATAGTGGGCGAGACAGGAGAGGTCTGCTGCCCCATGTGGGTAGCTCCCTGGCCGGCCAGGGATCAAACTCATGCTGTAGAGGCTGTGGATAGCTTCGTAGTGCTGTACTTAGCCCCTTTTGCCAGCAGGGAGGCCCCTAGCTGCTGGATTTTTAACTAAACTGATAAACTGCACTTTTGCTATGTTTCAAAGTGAAAAACCCGTACTTTTCTACAAAAGGAAATAATTGCCAAATATTTAGGCTTGTCACTGAAGATTGGTTTGGAATTCATAATGTTTTCTCTGAGTAAAATTTGGGATTAACAGACCTTTCTGGACAGAGATTGACATGCTGCACCTTCTCTTTAGAAGCCCCAGTCTGGCTGCTGTGCAGAATCAAGAGGTGAAGGGTGAGAGGTGGGAAGATAAATGTAGGAAACTAGCACAGATTCTAGGATGGAAAAATCTGGTAGCTTTGTGGGGTGTGATCAGGAAAATAATGGGAAGTGTTTGGATCTGGATATCTTTAGAGATGGACTTTACAGCATTTCCTAATGTAACATCTGGGTTGTGAGAAAGGGGTCAAGATGCCACCCAGCATCTCAGACTGAAGTAAAGATGTGGAGCCCGCAGTGACACGGGAAGGATTCAGAAGTAGCACATTTGTGGAAATGGCATCCGAGGTGTTCATTAGGAGAGTAGAAGCTGAGGTGTATTGGAAATGCAGCAATGGTGGCGGTTGGACAGATGTTGGCAGCCTGCTGCCCTAACGGGAGCTGAAGCCCTCTGGGAGGACCTGTTCACCCTGCACATGGAGTTCCAGGAGGTAGAAGTTCTGCAAACAGAAGGTCTTTCCAGAACTGATTCCCCTTCCCTGAAGAAGTGCTGGATTGTGTGCATATCCTTGCTAATCAGCAAAGCTTGTCCCAGCAGTAACTTATTAATTTGTATAAGTAAAAACACAATTGCATGCTATTTCTTTGCTTAAAAAAGATTTATGCATACAAGAGCTGGGGAGTAGGCCAGAGGTGCAGGAGGTGAGAAGATTCACGAGAAAGAGAACGGGGAGCAGAACAGGCAGACTGACTGAAACACACTTCTGAAGGGAGCAGCTGATGGGACAGGAGAGGTCTGCCACACAATGTGGGTAGCTCCCTGGCCAGGGATCAACTGAGGTCTCACTGGCTGCGAGTAGCTTCATAGTGCTGAGACTTAACCCTTTGTCCCACCAGGGAGGCCCTGCGTGCTATTTTCTTGTCCCTTTGTTCATATCTTTAATAAAAGCTTCAGCTGGGAGAATGAGAGGCAGAGTTGCTATCGATGGTTCTCCCAGCCTCCCCCTGCTGCAAATTCAGTTTAGACTCTGAGTCTTCCATATTTCTTTCCATCTTTCATCTCACCCCCCACACCTCTGACCTGTTCCCCAGTTATTGTATACATAAATAATCTAAAAAAAAAATCCAGCAGCCAAATATACTACTTGGACATCAAGTTTCCCTTTCTAAATACATTTAGATTCACATAATTTTATGCTTATTACATAATGGTTTTAAATAAAAACTTCTGAGAACTTCTCATCGTCTGACTGCTGCAGACAGACAAGCCAGGAGCACAGGTGCAATATGTGCACTGAGAAATAGATCTGGGAGGTGATGTGATGTACATGATATTTGAAATCTTGAGCATGACGGGCCCCCAGGGAGTGATGACTAAAGGAAAGAAAGGAGCAGGACTGAACTCTGAAACCCCCTGGGTTAAGACCACCCCCCAGAGGCAATTGCATATTCTGACACCACGTGGAGAAGACAGGGAGACCAAGGAGCCCCCACTTCCGTGAGCACAGGAATCACTGGGACACTCATGAAGACTCAGAAGGTCTAGAACAAAGTCTGAGAGTCTGTGTGTACAACAACATTGGTGCTGACCACACTTTTAGCAGAAGAAGGAGACCAGATTCCTGGCTGTGCGTCAGCCTCACCTGCAGGGCATGTTGAGGAAGTGATTCCCAGTTCCCTGCTCATCACTCTGAGCCGCTGGGTCTGGGAGAGACCTGAGTGTTTGTGACAGGCCCACATGCATTCTGGGGCTCAGCCAGATTGGGGCCCCTGATGTCAGTGATCAGGGAGCTGTGAGGACCTGGGAGGAGAAGACAAGACATGTGCTGGGGGGTCTGCTTTGCTTTCTCTCCCAGGAGGCCTATCTAGGTGCACACCAGGAAGTGGTTCAGCTCAGCATAAAGAAAATCTGTCACTGCCCCTGGATGGATTTCTCACTCATTTGATACAAATGTACAACACAAATTTTTCAAGTAAAATTTACTAAAGGCATTAATAGATACATGTGAATGTGTATGTTTGTATATAATAGTATAGTATGTGACACTGACTCCAGATCCCCGAGGCTTCCCCAGCTCTTTCCTGCCCCGAGTGGTGGGACATGCAGGCTTTGTTGGTGCGGCTGCCCCAGTGGGCACAGGCAGAGGCCAGTGGAAACAGGGGTCTGAAAGGGCTGGCAGCAGCAGTGATGGTTTTCTGCCCTGGCACCCTGCATGTGCAACTGGTAAGCACAGCTCTAGAGGTGCTGGCAGAGGTGGGTTTCCTGCCAGGGGGCAGGCAGCCTTCAGAGGGTCCCTCCCCCAGAGCAAGCCAGGTTTAAGCAAAGGAGCCCATAGGGCATAGGCTCCCCCTTCCCTGTCCCCCAGAGGAGCTGCTTCTGGGTGCCACCAAGGCCGCCCTGCAGTGGGTGCCACAGGACAGCTTTGCTGAGCCCAACTCACTGGGCTAGGGATGATAGCTGGGGGGCATCAGCTGGGTTTGAATGGACCCCCACTGCCCTGGCAGGCTCCAGGAAGCCGCTGCTTGAGGATGGGGCCCAGGCCACCCTGACAGCTGTGTCTACTACACCCAGCAGCGGGAGTGGCAGTGGGTGACAGTAGGTGGGCACTTTACCACCAGCCACCATCAGTGTCATGGACAAAGGCAGCAGCCAATCTGGCATCAGAGGCTCTCTGTCCCCCCACACCGCCCCAGGGCATGCAGCCCACTGGGGTACAGCAGCAAGGTCACCTTTGAGACCTGTCATTGCTGCTGACTGTCCGGTACCACCTCCCAGTGCTGTTGCCTCCTTCCTGCCTGGCCCTGCGTTCAGACTGTGACTGTGGCTGCTGGGGTGTCTCCTCAGAGGGGAGCACCCCTGGGAGCACCTCCCGCTGCCACTGTGAGTTGGATCCTGGCCCAGGGCTTGCGACTGTGCCACCAGCTCCAGGCCCTCCCTGGCAGGACTGTACCCCCATACATGGGCAGCCTTAGTTTTGGACTCTTGGACACTGCGGACACTATCTGGGGTAACACAATCGCCACTGAGGCCTTAGAGAATCTTTATTTCCCTGCTCTCCTGTTTGTTAAAGAAACCTCATTGCTCTTCCCTGAGCCTGAGTGGCTGCAACTGAGCACACGGGTTTTGAGACCCTACAGACAGTGCCCTGTCCTCTACTTTAGCTCTGTCCTTCTGAGAGGGGGCCAGGGAGGAAGGGCCCATACCTAGTAGAGGAACCTGCACATACACACACTGGATGCACGTACATGCTACCTGACTCATGATCTGTTTTTCTTGAACTAAAGCTCGTATTTAAATGGAGATCCTGCCCTGAAGATGCCCCAAAGAGTGCCGGACACTGATGCCCTCTGATGTAGCAGGGGCAGGATACCTGGGAGGCTGACAGCAAGTTTTGCATCTGAACATGACGGACACCAGGAGTGTCAGCTGTGACAGGCTGTTCTGATGGATGATTTGCTCTGAACATAAAGGTTTATCAACGCAGAGAGCACCGGGAGACACACAAGAGAGACGTGTGGAGAAGCTGCATTGCTTCTTGGCTTTGGCCTTGAACCAGGAACTTAGAGGCTTGGAAGGTGACACCTAGAAAGGACACCGTGATGGCTGAGCTGGATCCCTAGCCAGGGAGCTAACCCACATGGCCTGGCAGACCTCTCCTGTCTCGCCTGGTGCTCCCTCAGCAGTGTATTTCAGTAGATCTGCCTGTTCTGTTCCCTACTGTGTCTCCGGTGAAACCTCTCACCACTCACCCCACCACCTCTGGCCTGTACCCCAGCTCTTCTGCGCATAAATAAATCTTTAAAAAAATGTTTGTTTGCATAAATCCAGTAAAGATCTTTTCCCCCTTCTCTTTCTTTAATAGATAATTGGAAATACGGATATTTTACCAAGGCTTTGTCTGGAATGTTGTTTTCAGAAACCAGACTGATCTCAGAGCCTGTAAAGACATAATAACGGCACCTGTTTTAGAGCTACGAGGGTCTGTCATTAGGGTAAAGAAGGCAACCCCTTAGCAGATCCAGAAACCCCAGATGTCTTGGGAGCCTGGAGAGGAATTTCCCTGAAGGTACAGGTACCGCAGGCCAAGTCTGATGATGAGACCTTGGCGTGGTCCTGAGCCCTGACTCCTGGCGTTTAGGAGCTCTCAGTCTGAGGGTTCTTGTATGAAGTTCCAACAAAGCAAAATTAAAAGGTCTGCATAATAATTTCTGTTCCTGTTGAATCCATGCAAACTGACTGTGGCGGTGTAGTGTGTGGGTGAGGCCAGGGGCTGATAACAAGTTCTGGGGGCTGAATGTGCTGGATACCAGGAGCAGCAACTGTGATGGGCTGTTCTCATGGGCTGTTTGCTGTGACTGTCTGTGTGTAACTGATTACAACAAGGCCAGCTGGAGATGAGATGGGGGAACGGCCGCACCCCATTCTCTCAGATCAATGGCCAGTGATCTGAAAAGTGAAAGAGCTTGTAGGTTCAGTTCCTGGCTCTGCTTATGGCTTTCTGGTGTGATGGGCAGCAGCGCCCAGGCCCATCCCACCAACAGTTGTAGATATTTGCTGTCTGCCCCTTTTGTTTTATATCCCCTTTTGTTCTCCTTGCTGCAGGGGACAGACCCACAAAGATATCACTGAAATGTGTGTCATGGCGTGTTCTGTCCTTGTTTTCTTCCGTGTATCTTATGGCTTCTGGTCTTACACCCCACCCTATTGTCCATTTTGAGTTGATTTTTGTGTGAGGTGGGAGATGGTGGTCTAGTTTCATTTTTTTGCACGTGGCTGTCCAGTGTCCCCAGCACCATTTATCGAACACGCTTTCCTTGTGAACCCTCATCTTAACCTTGTCAACATAAACTTTACTGGATTGCACGGTGGAGAAAGTGGTTTACTTCTTCCCATCAATAGTTGTATTTTAAAATCACAATTTGGGCCTCCCTGGTGGCGCAAGGGGTTAAGATGCAACCTAGAAGCTGTTCACAGCCACTGTAGCAAGAGTTCGATCCCAGGCCAGGGAGAATCCCACATGATGCAGCAGACCTCTTCTGAATGGCCTGCTGCTCCCCTCAGCAGTGTATTTCAGTCAGTCTGCCTGTTCTGTTCCCTGCTCTGCCTCTGGTGAATCCTCTCACCTCCCTTACCTCTGGCCTGTACCCCAGTTCTTGTATGCATAAATAAATAAATCCTTAAAAAAATAAAATCAGGGCCTCCCCTGGTGGCACAGAAGTTGAGTGCTGGGCTGGGAAGCTGCCCACAACCTCTGCAACTCCGGTTCGATCCCCAGCTGCTGGTGAGGCTCCCACGTGGTGGGACAGACCTCTCCTGGTGTGCCCGATGATCCCCTCAGCAGTGTATTTCATCAGTCTGCCTCTCTGTTCCCTGCTCTGGCTCTGGTGAATTCTCTCACCCTCCCGCGCTTCTGACTGTACCCAGAGCTTGTATAAATAAATAAATAAATAAATCTTTAAAAAAAAATAAAATCACAATTCATTTTACATTCTCCACTGTCTCTTGGCAACCTTAGGTAGTTAACTGAAACTATTTCAAAAGCACTTAAACAATTGAAAGATTAGAGGTATATGTCATTTAAGAGGAAAATAAATGATTAACCCATCTGGATTAGGACAATTAATATTTGACCACACATTTTGTTAGGGGGAAAGGATGTCCTGAGCTAATCCCATACAGGCTTTGTGGACCCCACCCCCACTCCAGACTAAAGCCATCAGACATTGGGAAAGACACATCCCGTCACCACCAAAGGGAAGGTGGCTGGGACCTGAGGGTGGAGTTAAGCAGCCAGGTTGGGTATAAAAACCAGACACGTGGGCCTTGGGGGGCTCGCTGTCGCTCGCCTCCCTGCTTCATGGCTCCTGGCTTGCAGCCAGCTCTCAGAGCGCCATTTTGGGATTCGGGTAGGACGCATCTAAAACTTTGTCTCCCACTTTTCTCCCTGAGCTGTACATTTCCTCATTTCCCCTTCCCTTGTAAATAAACCTTTTATTAACCTTTCGCGTGTGCCTGCAGTAGAGCATTGATAAGTCCTTTTAAGCGCGCGGGTGAGGACCCACAGTCAGGCACCCCGTTTTGTATTGGTGTTGCTCTACAACAAGTTCAGTCAACAGGGAACAGTGTGTGTTGAGAAAGGAGCAAAAACAGACCCTGAGGAGCAGGTGAGGCAGTGAGGGGCTGAGTGTCCTTCCTGCAGGGTGTCCCCCAGGGTTGTCCAGGGACACCTGCCCTGTGCTCTGTATCCCCTCCCCCTCTTTTTCCTCCCCACATGGACCTAAGGGCAGCACTGGGGGGAGATGAGGTTTCTGGGTGTGTCCTCCTGGGGCAGTTTTGAGTCCAAGTTTCCCCTCCTGCTCTCCTCCCCCTGGGGTGGGTGGAGCTGGGGGCTGGGCTGGGCTGAGAGCTGGGGTGGGAGTGGGGCACAACCTGCAGCTGCAGCCCCTCCCCCCAGGAAGTCTGGTTGGTCATAAACCCTGGAGGGGGTGGGTATCTGTGGGTTCAGTTAGGAAACTGTCATCCCATCTCTTCCTGTCCATGCACAGCTATTCTACTAACAGCTCTCATTTTAGGAGTGTGCTCTGCTTTTATGTGGCAGATGGCAGAACCCACATAGAGCATGCAGGCTTGGGGTCCCAGGGTGCCCCTCATTCTGCCTGTTAACAGACTGAGGGTGTTTTCTCTGATCAGACTCATTTCCCTTCTCTGCTGCTCTGTCCCACCAAGTCCCTGACCCTGGGGCAGGAATCTCCCCCAAAGTTAGAGAGGAAGAGGAAGCCCTCAGTGGGGATCTGACCCAGCTCCTGCTGCGTTTGGAGTAGGACCTTGTCCTTGGCCCTGGCAGGTCAGGGCTGGGGAGGGACTGACCTTCAGATGAACTGAACAAGCAGACACAGCAGGACAGGGGCCTGTGGGGGGACCTGGGCTCCTTGGGGACTGTGTTGTGTGTCCTGATGCTTCTCAGGGACACCTGCTCACATGGAGGAGACATGACCACAAGCAGATTCTGGCCTGTCCTTCATGGGGGCCTGGGTCTGAACTTCTCTCCTGGGGAGCCACTGGGTGTGTACAAGGAAGGGCCTTGTGCTCTGAGCAAAGTGGTTCTGGGAGTGGGTTCTACGGGGTGGGAGGGGAAGGGAGAATGTTTTTTCCCAATAAACCTCATGGTTTCTAGCAGCACAGAGGCTCAGAAGCCCCGAGAACAGCCAGGTCTGTCTTTCTAGTCCTCAGGGCTTAAGGGGTCACTAGGAAGGGCCCTGCTCCTGCTGTTGGGGTGTTTCCTGCACCCTGCTCCCCCACTGAGCCCAGCACACCTGGCTGCCCTGCTCCTCTGTGTGGGCCTGGCTGCCTCCTGCCCTGTCTCTCCCCAGCCCTGAGGAGATGGTGCCCTGCTCCTGCCCCAGCTCTGTGCTCTGCCTCCTCCCTCCCGCTGCTCCTCCTCCAGCTGCCCCCCAGGGGGTCCCCAGGTGAGTGTGTCCCTCCCTGTTCTGTGTCTCCCTCGGGTGGGTGGGGCCCAGGGACTTTGGGAGCTCTTCCTGCAGGAAGATTGGCTGTGGGGGGTCCTGGCTCTAGAAAGATATGGGTGCTCCCAGGGGAAGGAAGAGGTACAAAACGGGTGGGAAGAGCCCAAGGGACTATGACGATGGTGCACACATGAATTGGTGGTGGGAATTTTACAGGAACTACCCCTGAGAGGAGAAGGTATGCATTGTACAAAAATGAAGAATGATGTAAAAAAAAAAAAAAAAGATGGGGGTGCTCCCGAACTACTCATGTGATGACACAGGACACAGTTCAGTGCAGTCACTGAGCTAGAACAGGAGGGGGAGAGATGACAATTGCTCAGTCAGGGGTTCATGGTGTTTTAAAAAGTCACCTTGTCAAAAATGTGAAAATACCTTTCTCCTCATTTTTTGCTTTTCATTTATTTGTATCAGAAACATTTGTCAGTTACTAATGTATTTTCCTCCACCAATATTTCTATATTATGTGCTATGTGCTGTGAATAAAACCGACAGATTCACTGTATTCAGCAAGCTACTTTCATGCAGGAGGCAGAGAATAACAAAGACAAGGAACCTGTCGGACCCCATCCCTGTAGAGGGGCTGAGAAGAGGGACGGGCAGGGAGCAGGTGAGCAGCAGGAGAGGGAAGGGTGTGGGGGTAACTGTGTCCATGAAGGGTGTCAGTGTGATGGTGGGATGGGAGCAAAGCCCTGGGGAGGGGGTTTTGTGGGTGAAGGTCCCATGGAGGGAACAGCCTGTGGGGGCCTGGCTGGTGCCAGGTGAGCAAGGACAGAGGGGGTGGCCCTGCTCTGTGCTTACCAAAAGGACATGAGAGGTGAACCTTCAACAGGTGACTTAGTGGTCATAATTTATATCTCAATAAAATTGCTTTAAAAACATTTAAAAATGGGTCTATGAGTTGCCCTGTGTCTGTCCTCCACTGTATCCACATGAAGGGCTCGTGGGGCAGAAAACTGCCTCAGCCCACGAGGAGCTGAGCACAGACGGCTTCACTGCACAGATGCTCACAAGGCGCCTCCTCTGCGTGGTCCTGAGTCACGTGATGAGATGCTGACATCACGCTGCTTCTGTGATGGAAGAGTTTTAGGGGCCTTGGGTGGTGATTTATGTTGATTTTCAATTATCTACAAATTCTATGATACACAGAAGGGGAGACAGTCGTCATCGTCCCCCCCCCCTTGTCTCCCTCCCCCCCCCCCCCCCCCCCCCCCGTGAGTGTGTCTGACTTGCTGGCTCTTCCTCTTGAGGAGAATGAAGCAGAAGGGACGCGCCACGTCACAGAGTCAGGCTCACAGGGGCTGAGACTTCCCGCCCGGGCTCCCCTCCTGGTCCCTCTCTGGGGTGACTTCCCTGCACACGGTGGACCCTCAGCTAAGGGGACGCCCACAGGACAAGGATCTGAGGGTTTTCTCCAGGAGCCTCATGCATGAGCTCTGAGGCAGGTCCTTCCACGCTGATCACGGTCGTTCAGATGTGATTTGGTACAAACCATTAAAAAATGAAGGTGATAAAGTGATCAGTGGCTGTTTTCTCAGAAGAAACAGGGGCACCAGAGTTCCTCACACGACAGTCAAGGTCCTGATAGCAATGCGCTGTCAGACAAGGATTCCATGTCCCCTGAAGTGTCCTTCAAAATATGTGATTTTAAAAAATTATTTCTACTGTTTTTAGATTCCCATTTAATTTTGCTGTTTGGTTGTGTTTTCTTCACACTATCCCCAGAGAAGTGTCTGCAGGGTCACGGCACAGAGGGGCTGTCAGCAGCCTGGAGCTGTGAGCAGGGCTGACTCTGACGTGCCTGCAGGGAATGGGGCCCTGGAGCCCCAGAATCAGCCCCCAGGGTGGTCCTCCATGGCTGTCCAGGCCTTGCTCTGCCCTCCTCCTGGCTCCCTGAATCTGCCTGATACCCCAGCATTAGGGAGTTGGGGAGGATGTTCTGAAACAGGAGGGGGCCTCCTCCTAACCATCTATTGTCTCTTTGTCTCTCTCCATCAACCGGAGTGTGCGTGTTTGAGTCACACCAGCCCTGCACGGACAGGAAAGGCCCTAAACTTTAGTAGTTCCCTAGTCAGCTACAGCGCCAACCCCTGAGCAATCCCAACAGGTGAGAACAGAGACTCTCCCAGCCCCCAGACACAGCCCGTGTCACCCACACAGTCCTTCCCCCTCACCTTCCCCCCATGCTGCCTCTTCCTGGCCCATCCTCTCTGGTGACCCCACCACTCCTTTTGGGCCCCATCCCCTGGTCCCCATTTTCATCTTCTACTCCATTTCCAGGAGCTTCCCGGTCTTCCTAGCCATGCCCTAGGTACGCTCCTCAGCCCCTCCCCTCCTTCAAGGATGGAGAATTTTTAAAAGATATATTTATTTATTTATTTATTTATTTTATTACGTGGGTCATCTTTTTATTATGTGGTTCCTTTTATGTGCAGCCTTCCCACCAATGATCCACTCCCCTCCCCCACTGCTGCAAGATGTGGATGGATGGTCGGCCCACGGGTCTTGTCCATTTCCTGGGCGAGGACCTAGGCTCCTGGGTAGAGTGTAATGTTAACTCCCAGGAGGAGGGGCTTTCACCCCTGGAAGCAGAAGCAGAAACAAATTACAGAGACTCTGGAGTCCAAGTTTCCATTCCAAGACTGAAGGAACCTCTCTATTTGGGGGATCTGCCCATAATCCGGGAATCAGCTGTTTTGACTGGAAACCTGCTTTTGGGCTTTGTCCATAGGACTAAGAAAATTTGAGGATTTCTGACCTGACACTGGACTTGGGCGCCCCCTTGTGTGCAGATCCCTGCCCTGCCGTTGGGAGCCCAGGGAGCCTGGGGAGGGCCTGGCTGAGCAGGAGAAAGGGCAGCTCTGGGCTCCTGTGCTCAGCCCTGTGGCCACACGGGGGCGCTGCCGCGCTGTTCCGGGTTCTGGTGGAGCCGCCAGGACGGGGCGGGGGCTGAGGTGGGCAGAGTTGGGGGTCCTGGAGGGCGGCGTCGTGGGATGAGATGCTCTGTGAGGAGTCAGAGAAGCAGGGCTCAGAGGAGAGGAGACTCCGGAGCCTGCCCTGGGTGTGAGGTTTCCAGCTTTTCTCCCACCACCCCTCTCTCCAGTCCCTGGACAGTGATACCTGGGAAAACTGGAAAAGAAAAAGTTTTCCTTCTATAACCTATTAAGTATTGACAGTA